TGTGTACATATACAGTTTTTGAAATTTTACCAAAATATAATTGATTATACATATTTGTGGGGTGCAGAATTGAACATCAATACCTGTGTATGATATGTGATGCTCAAATCAGGATAATTAGTATATTTATCATTACAAAACTTAATCATTCCTTGTGTCCATTAACCAATTCTCACTTCTCCCTTTCCACCTCTGGCGACCACAGTTCTGTTCTTTTCCTTTGAAACTTCAATGTACTGTTGTGATTGAGGTATCTTTCTTTCTTTCTTTTTTACTTAGTTTTTATTTTTTAGCTCCCACTTATCAGTGAGGACATGTGATATTTCTCTTTCTGTGCCTGGCTTACTTCACTTAGCATAATTTTCTCCAAGCTCATTCATGTTACTGTGAATGTCAGAATTTCATTCTTTTTTATGGCTGAGTAGTATTCTATTGAGTGTATATATACCACATTTGCCTTATCCAGTTGTCCGTCAAAGGACATTTAGGTTGGTCTCACTCTTGGCTATTGTAAACACATCTGAGATAAATAAATATGGGAGTCCAGGTATCCCGTCCACATGATGATTCCTATCCCTTTAGGTATCTCCCAAGCAGTGGGATTGCTAGATCGTATGGCAGTTCTATCTGTAGTTGTTTGAGGAACCTCCATACTGTTTCACGTAATGGCTGCACTAATTTACAGACCCATCAACAGTGTAGGAGGGTTCTCCACATTATTGCCAGCATTTGTTTTTCTCTGCCTTTTTGATAATAGCCAGTCTCAATTGGGTGAGATATCTCAATGTGTATACCATGATTTTTTAGTCCATTTATCCACTGGTGAACCTTTAGGTTGATTCCATCTCCTGGCTCTTGTATATAGTGCTGCAATGAACAGGGGAGTGCAAGTGTCTCTTCAATATATTGATTTAGTTTGGCCATTTTCATGTCTTTTTTTGAGAAATTTCTATCCAGGGTCTTTGCCCATTTTTAATTGGGTTATTTGTGATTTTTTTTCTGTTGATTTGTTTGAATTTCTTATATATCCTGAGTACTACCCCTTTGTCAAATGCAAAGTTTGCAATTACTTTCTTACATTCTGTAGGTTTTCTTTTCATTTTGTTGATTGTGTCCTTTGCTGTGCAGAAGATTTTTTGAAGTAGTTTTGTCTTTTTGCTTTTCATGTCCATGCCTTTGTAGTCTTGTTTAAAAAAGTGCTGCCCAATACAATTTCATGTAGTGTTTCCCTAAGTTTTCTTCTAATAGTTTGTAGATTCCAGTCTTTAGTGTAGGTCTTTAATCCATTTTGAATTGATTTTTGCGTATGGTCAGAGAGAGGGGTCTAGTTTCAATCTTCTGCATGTGGATATCCAATGTATTTTATTAACTTGAGAAATTAAATTTAAAAAAAAATAAACTTTAAAAAATGAGCTTTAAAAAACTCATTGGATATCCAATCCTTTCAACAATGTATATTATTGACACCTTTGTCATAAATCATCTGGCTGTAAATGCAGGGATTTATTTCTAGGTTCACTATTTTTGTGCAATTGGATTTTATGCTAGTACCATGCTGTTTTGGTTACCATAGCTTCATAGCAAACTTTGAAGTCAGATAGTGTAATGCTTCTGAATTTCTTCTCTTTGTTCAAGATTACTTTGGCTACACAGTATCTTTTGTGGTTCTGTACAAATTTGAGGATTGTATTTTTCTCCTTCTGTTAAGAATATAATTGGTGTTTTGATAGGGACTTCACTGAATCTTAGAATGCTTTGGGAGTTATAACAATTTTGACCATATTAATTCTTCCAACCCAGGAAATGGAGATGTCTTTCCGTTTATTTATGGTTTCTCTAATTTCTTTCACCAGTGTTTTATAGTTTTCATTGTAGAGATCTTTTACCACTTTGGTTAAATTTATTTCTACATCTTTTGGGGGGAGGTGTAGCTATTGTAAATGGGAATAATTTCTGATTTCCTTTGCAGATATTTAATTATTGGCATATAGAAATGCTATTGATTTTTATATCTTGAAACTATACTAAGTTTATTTATTAGTTCTAGTAATTTTCGGTGGGGTCTTTAGGGTTTTCTACACACACATACACACACACACACACACATGTGTGTGTGATTACATCATCTGCAAATAGGGGTGTGTGTGTGTGTGATTACATCATCTGCAAATAGGGATAGTTTGAGTTCTCCTTTTCCAATTTGAATATCTTTTACTGCTTTCTCTTTCCATATTGCTCTGTCAAGAACTTCCAGTACTGTGCTGAATAAGAGTGGGGACACTGGTCATCCTTGCCTTGTTCCAGGTCTTTAAAAAACTCTAAGGTCATATCATTTAAACTGGGCTATCGCCAAAGGTCTCAAAACTATTTCATCCTTTGCAATGCAGTTTTCTGTTGCCAGTAGGACTAATGTGCAGGCAAAACCTGTTATAAATTCTTCATGTTTTCCGTTATTTATACCACCATAGTTTTCAAATTACTGACTTAGTCAGGTCTTTCAACAAGGATTTCTGTCTATTGTTATTCACCTGATGTCCTTTTTTATCCTGTTCTCCATTTTTTAAATCTACTCAGGGTTCATTTAATGGAGAAGTGTGTTTATGACAACATATTCTGAGAGCAGGATNTTATAAATTCTTCATGTTTTCCGTTATTTATACCACCATAGTTTTCAAATTACTGACTTAGGTCTTTCAACAAGGATTTCTGTCTATTGTTATTCACCTGATGTCCTTTTTTATCCTGTTCTCCATTTTTTAAATCTACTCAGGGTTCATTTAATGGAGAAGTGTGTTTATGACAACATATTCTGAGAGCAGGATGACTTTATTTGAACCCTGACTTCACCACTTACAATCTGAGTGATTTTTGTAAAATTATTCACCCCTCTGTGCTTCAATTTTGTTTCCTATATGAGGATGCTAATTCCAACATATTTCCTAGATTTATTGTGTACATCATGAGTTAATATGCTTAGAAAATATCCAGGAACACAATGAGTTTCATCGAGTTCTTGATCGTCATCTTTCTTTCTGCTGACCTCTTTTAATGATTCTCCATTCTTGAATAAACAGAATGGCCAGGTACTTTCTGTTCAGAAATGGGATATATGATTGGAAGATCATTAGAAGTCATGATTCAACAGACAAAAAGAACACATGTGGCAAATGTGGACTAGAATATTATTAACAAAATTCTAAAATTAACATAGCATTTGATTTTGTAGTGGGTAAACATGTTAAACTTATGGTGAGAAGTATTTAAACATACATATACTTACATGTCAAACTTTTTATAACCACTGCCTGATTAATTACTCCACCAACAGTTTGGAAAATCTTTTCTGGTCTTGCTTCTTTAACTAGGTGTTATGATCAGCAACAGGTAAGGATTATGGTTTAGGTATAGATGTTTGTTTCACAAATTACCTGTCCATTTTAAAAACATGAAATAAAAGAGGTAGTTCTTTTGACATATTTAAAATAACTTTGGGTCAAAATAAATCAGTCATAGTAGCTACATCAAAACAATCATTTTAAAGTAACTTGCCTCTTTTACAGGACACTTTACCCAAGTTTCAATGAACGTAAGAGTAGCTATGTGTGTGTTTGGCCTAAAGGGAGGAGTCTCTCTTTACAATTTGAGACAAAGAAAATGTCTTTACATTGCATACATCATGAAATAAATTATCTTAGAAAACAACATTTCAAATATAATAAATATTGATTTTATAACTAACACAGGTCACCAAGAAGAAACATGGAGAACTGCAATCACACTGCAATGACCGAGGTGACTGAATTTATTCTCATGGGGATCACTGACAACCCTGGGCTGCAGGCACCCCTCCTTGGAATCTTCGTCATATACTTGGTCACAGTGATGGGCAATCTGGGCATGATTATCATGACCCATTTGGACTCCAAGCTACACACTCCCATGTACTTTTTCCTTAGACATTTGTCGATTACTGATCTTGGCTACTCCACTGTCATCGGCCCCAAAATGTTGGTTAACTTTGTGGTGCACAAAAACACCATTTCCTACAATTGGTGTGCCACCCAGCTAACACTCTTTGAGATTTTCATCATCACTGAACTTTTTATTCTATCAGCAATGGCCTATGACTGCTATGTAGCCATCTGCAAACCTCTTCTCTATGTGGTCCTCATGGCAGAGAAAGTACGTTGGGGGCTGGTACTTACCCCCTATCTCTACAGCACATTTGTGTATCTATTTCTCACAATTAAATTATTTAAATTGTCCTTCTCTGGATCTAACATGATCGATTATTTTTACTG